GATCAGTCTCATTTCCGTAGCATCCAAGATGTTAACGTCATATCCACGAAGAACAAGCTGGATTCCGCCCTGACCGGAGCTGCATTGATCACATACTTACGCTATGCCAAATCCTCGAACAACGCCAAACGTTCAGTAGACCGACCATCATTGTGTTTTTGGACATACGTGTTGCGTTCGACTTATTTGACACAGCATCTCCTTGGACTTGTCTGTAAGGAAGTATGTAAACCTTCTCGAAGCCGTCTAAGCAAACACACCTGGCTGCGTGAAGGTCTGTCATTGCGTCTCCTTTCATTTATCATCACAAGCGGAGTTCGACAAGGGACTGTTATAACTGATACGCAACACTGGAGGTCGGAGAACCACAGTTAGTGAAACAATCTGTGACAAAAGTGGGCAAGTCATTCACAATAGGGAACAACGGCTAGACCGGTGGGCGGAATACTACCACGAACAGTTCAGCTGGCCAGGTGCTAACCAGACTATCTCGTCTAGTGTAGTTCAGGCTCCATGGGAAATGTCATGTGAACTTCCTACTGCAACAGACGTTCGATCATGCATCCGAGCCCTAAAGAAAGGAAAAACAGCAGGACCGGACGGGCTTCCTCCCACTCTTTTCAAGATGGGGTGCGGTGACCTTGTAGACTCCATCGCCGATATAATGCGTAACATCTGGTCACACGAGCGCATTCCCCCATCTTGGAGCGAATCATTGATTGTTCCCATTTTTAAGAAGGGATCTTGCAACGACTGCGTAAACCACCGTGGAATAAGTTTGATCTCAATCGTTACCAAGTTACTAGCCTCCATCATACTTCGACGTCTGACACTGTTTAGGGAGACAAATATCCGCGAACAACAAGCAGGATTTCGACCAGGCCGCTGGTGTGTCAATCAAATCTTCACGCTGCGTCAAGTCCTCGAACTATGCCACACGCACCGTCGACCAACGGTTGTCGTGTTCCTTGACCTAAAGGGAGCCTTCGACTCAGTTGACTGCGAATCCCTTATGGGTTCGCTTCTTTGCAAATGAATGCCGCAGAAGTATGTGAACATACTGAGGTTACTCTACTTGCATATTTCTGTTAGCGTAGGGGTCTACGGCGAGCTGAGTAGGCTGTTCGTAACTAGCAGCGGTGTTCGTCAAGGGTGCCATCTTTCGCCGTTCCTGTTCAATTTCGTCACAGACGAAATACTGGAGAACGCACTAACTGGTCTCCAAAATGTAGGTATTCAATGGGCAGCTGGAGAAAAGCTGTGCGATTTGGAGTACGCTGACGACATCGTTTGCCTGTTCGAATCTATGGAGGATGCGCAAAGAGCACTTGACAGACTAGCAAGTTCTGTCGCTCCGTTCGGCATGTGCTTTGCACCTTCAAAGTGCAAAGTGATGCTGCAAGACTGGGTGTCGCCGAGTTCCGTCCTGAAACTAGACGGTTAGGAATTAGCTGTAGTTGATTGCTTCTCGTACTTAGGTAGCTGCGTGACCAATGACCGTACCGCATCAAAGAATAACCGCCCGCATTTCCAAGGCTCGAGTAGCATACGCAGGACTTAAACACCTGCGGCGGCGAAGTGACGTTTCACTGAAGTTGAAAAGCCACGTATATTGCGCCACTGTACGATCAGTTTTACTGTACGGTCGTGAGACTTTGAACTTGCGGGTAGAAGACATCTGTCGTTCAGCAGTGTTCGATAATCGACGCCTACGTAGTCCGGCTCAAGTGGGATGGAGTGATCCGGTTAGTAATTTAGATATAAGTAGTCGGGTGTTTGGGAATACCTCAAACAAGAACTCACTATCGTATCCAATCCAGCTTAATAGGCTTCGTTGGTTAGGACACGTGTTGTGTATGTCCAATGGTCGCCTACCGCAGCACTCCTTATTCGCAGTGGCTGTTGCAGGCTGGAGAAAGTCACGTAGAAGCCAGCAGATGACGTGGAGACAAGGCATGAAGAAATGCACAGAGCGATTAGGTAGAGTAGGTGTCTCTTGTCTTCCGGGTTGGGGTCCAAAATACTCAGAAACCGCATGGTTGGAGACACTGAAGATCATGGCCGCCAACTGACAGCAATGGCGATCGAGCTGTCCCTTCTTATCAGACCAGAATGCTTGAAGTAGTATGTATGCACAGCTGGACTGTTTACTCTGTGTTGACCATAGAGGTTCACTTTCTTTTCCCGTCCCTAAGAATTGGTCCAATCCCTGTCCTCCTTACACATTATCACTTACCTTGTATGAAATATGAGTTTGGCAGCGATCAATGAAGTTCGCTTCACTGTAATACGCTGTACAATCATGATGGTTTCAGCCCGTGCCATAGATTTCCAGTGTAAGATTTAGACGTTCAGTCCGTCTGTTAACTTGTGCAGTATTAGTCCAATCGTTACTGCCTGCTGTGAAGGAAGTCGCATAGTTCCTGAAATATGAAGCCGATCCACTATCGGAGTGGATATATGCTGGTGTGTTGAACAAAGTGGACATCTGACACAGAGAGACAACGGTTACCGCCAAAGTCATTTCTTGTCAAAAGAAAGCGAGAGCACTCCTTAATAACAGCCTGTATGGTAATACTATTGAAACCGGTGGCTCGTAACACAGCAAGTTAAAAATTGAGGTAGACGTAAATGGATCCTCAACGGTGGTAAGTGATGGCAATTTTGTCCACTTGTATCCATCCCTGAGAAGAGCAGAGGTTTTTCATGCAAGGCGTGTAGTTGATGCTCGAAACGAACAATCTAATCACTGTTTATGGTTGAGGCTTCCGTTATCCGTCAGTTGACTTGGATTGCTTGTGGGTCCCGTAAGCAGCTTTCTGATCGGCCCAAGGATCTCACTTGGGAGTTAAATTTACCGGCCACGGGTGCGTTAATTGTTGAGCAAACACTCTGTAGTAATCGAGGGAGGTCATTGTAGAAGTCGTTTATCATCTCTGGTGGACTGTAATCAGTAGGCACGTACAGGGACAAGACGAATAAGCGGCGACACCTTGTTTTGTTGGTGTTGACCAGCACTGAACCATCAAAATGCAGTGCGTACAATCAACCTCTGACGTGGATCCAGTCGAGCGCTCGATCTTGACACTTGGTGCAATCCCGACCCCGAAACATCAGATAAACGGGAATTGGAGCGGGAGGATGGGGTTGGGTTTGAAGGATGCAGTGAATGCGTGTCATAGAGAGACCGGATAAGTCGGCATTGAAAGTTGAGGCAGTTTGTTGGCCAATCTGGTAGTGTGCTACGTTTGTCAGTCACCAGTCTGAAGTGGTTTCCAATGAGGTACTCAGTCAATAATCTAATGAATTCAACCATGGCATGGATTTCTTATCCACTGAGGAGTGGGGCTACTTAGCTGCAGAAAGGGTTATTAAAGAGGTTACCGGTCCGTCTGATTCGGACCAGGGACGATCGCTATGTTCCACGTATCTGTTTCAACCACACTGGGTTGTAATGGATCTAATCACACAAAAACAGCCTGTCGGTGTTCTTTTAAATACTACAGGGAGCTTCTGAGATTGTCCATTACAGGAAAATATCTGCTTTGTACCTGAGGAAGAACCTTGTCACACAAATGGGAGACAGTACTAAAATGGGTGGATCATCCACTTTTGTGCTTCGATATCCGATGGAGTTAAATCTTGCGCTACCCGAAATCAGTCAATGTCAGGCTTGGTTATTCTTTTGTTTATTTTAGAAACGAGTAGATTATTCAAGCGCGGTCGGGTGACGCTCTCCTGATCGTTAAAAATGAGCTAGAATTGTTGCGTGACTTTTGCGAACCGGGTACAGTTGGAATCATATTCCATTGCCTATTCTCCACAAATTGCGCATGTATGCAATAACTCCTTTCAGCCGTCCTTTTATTATTAGCCCAGTGATTGCGTATTGAAAATGTCATCCCATTAGTGAAACCAAGTGAGTTCCACAAAGCTGATACAGCTTTTCGCAAGCTTGGAAGACCATTCATTTCTTCTCAGCCCTCCTCGTAAACATTTGATGATGTGCCCTGTGTATATCAACGGTGCGGTACAGTTCGCAACATGAAACTTCCCCATTAGATCATCAATTTTGGAAAAGAGCAAGCGTCGAGGAAAGTGAACCAACTAGATTTGCGCATAGTTAACAACAATTTCAGACGCTCTTCTATCGTTACCCGAACTTGAGCTCTTCGTGGAGGGTGGTCGATAATGCCATAGTTTTGTCTGAGAGTAGCTAGTAGGTCACCGAGCAGCCAATATATTCATTCGACGGTGAGCGTAGCCTCAATCTGGTAGCGAGTGGATCACAAGCATAATCTGACTCTTGGAATTAAGGCTGGGGATGTCACTTTAGAGGTTGTAAGGATATTAGGAGATACATATTTTATTTACTTTTACAGTACGACACCTACAAACGACGGGAAGTCGTGAACCAGAAGCATATTCTGGAATGACTTCGGAATGATTGGCAGTTTAGGTACACAGTCTCAATTAGCT